AAAGCCTGTGTTTTTAGGGTTRTTAACGAAGCTCATGTACTCAGACCAGTAATATTTGGGGTCACAAGTTTTTGCCATGGATATTTTGTGGGTCAGAGGACAAAAAGTTTGGGAACCACTGATCTAGAAGACTAGTCTTTCTTTGTTTTAAGGTCTACACGAGGTCAGTGATCGACCCGATCCCCGAGGTTAATAACGCCTCGAAAGCAGACAGACAGAAAGCAAAGGACGGCAAGATTACCGACGAGGAGATCATGGCCAAACTAAGTATGTAAAACACTCGGACACATTAAAGGCTGGAAACAGTTTGTTTTAGGTCTCGTTTGTGTTTACCTGTTATTCTTCTTGATTCTCAGGAACGATCGTCAGCGTGGGAGATCCCAAAAAGAAATACACTCGTTATGAAAAGATCGGCCAGGGGTGAGTCAGAACTCAATCTGTATTAAAATGAAAAAACTTAAGAGGGAAGATATGCAGCAGAAGAGCAAATAATGTACAGATTTTTCAACAGGAGAAAAAAAAAGTTGCTATAACGTAGTTTTTGTTGTCCTTTTTATTATATTTCATTTTACTTTGCAGAGCATCTGGCACCGTTTACACAGCCATTGACGTAGCCACAGGACAGGAGGTGAGTGTTCTTCATCTTTTTGTAAAAACTCAMCAGTTTCACTCGATTTTTATGGTTTAGTTCAGAGATTCTTAATCCATGGTCCGCGAGCGCCACCTTGAGGGCCTCAAAAGAACAACAGTTTTTAATTTTGGGCCGCTGAGGGCTGCGGGACCACGTTGATTTTGAAAAATGTGCAATACACTTTCTCAACACTAGTAGCAGTAGTGCGCCACTCAGTTGTTTAACAACTTTTTTAATATGAAAAGAAGAACCTTAGAAACCTGCCAAGAATGGAAACTTATTTTAAATGAAAAGCAGAAGCAAAAATGAAAGTAACTCATCAAAAAACACCAAAGTTTGTCACTAATATGAAGTACAGCTTCTGTTTTTTACCATGCAATATTTTAAAAGCTCAAAACCGTTGCAGATACAACTATATTTTAATTTGCACTTTAAATTAATTTTTATAGTTTATTTTTAAACATTTTGAATGTATTTTAAAGAAATTTTAAACTTGTCAAAAAGCTGTTGTTACTGTTATTGTTTGTCACTAATATGAAGAGCAGCTTCTGGTTCTACCATGCAGTATTTTGAAAGTTCAAAACATTATCAAATACACTTGCATATACAGCTATATTTTAATTTGCACTTTAAATTAATTTTTATAGTTTATTTTTAAACATTTTGAATGTATTTTAAAGAAATTTTAAACTTGTCAAAAAGTTGTTACTGTTGTTTGTCACCAATATGAAGAGCAGCTTCTGGTTCTACCATGCAGTATTTTGAAAGTTCAAAACATTATCAAATACATTTGCAAATACATCTATATTTTAATTTGCACTTTAAATTATTTTTATAGTTTATTTTTAAACATTTTGAATGCATTTTAAAGAAATTTTAAACTTGTCAAAAAGTTGTTACTGTTGTTTGTC